TGGAAACAAATAAATAACGCGTGTGCCAATAAGTTTTCAACATTGTGGTTTATATTTGGAGCCATCATACATATTCGTGTATTACACTTTCAGTTTTGCTCTTGCATGCATTATTAACTTTCTGGTGGATCGATTTTGGATAGCATCATTCAGTTAAGAACGTTCCTTTCAAAGTGTTCTTTGCTTTCTGGTAACGAAATATCCTTAGCTGTTGAAATTCTTTGAACTTCTATGTACGAATATAATAGTGCAATATCTGATAGGACTTTTGTTCTGCTTGATTATGATGCATTTTTACCTTGATGCTTGTACACCATCTATTTGTTGTACTAGGAAGCCTTTTCTTAGCATGATGTATCTAATATGTATCACCTGTTTCTAGGCCTTTATTGTGCTCTTTCACTCAAACATGTTCCTTTCTCTTCGTTCAGTATTTCATGGATGATTGTCTGAAAAGGTTAATTGACACAATTGATTTGCGAGAGGACTTGAAAAACTTACTCCCCAGAAACCGTGTGGCCAAACTTGTTCAAATCCGATTAGAAATGCAGGCTCCCTACATTTCAAAGTGGGCTCACGCACTCAGTATACAGGTACTTTTCCTCACTTTTATATTGAGTCTATTTTCCTGGATTTTTAGCTAAGTAAACTTTTAAATATTTTTAACTGTAGGCACAACCTCCGAATATTGCCACAAGCTTCAAGCAGAGAGCTATGCTTGTTGATGAGATTTGGGATGCTGCTGGTGATGAGTCCACTGATACTGATTGGTATGTGAAGCGCACAGTCCTTGGTGGAATATATTCTACTGCTGAGTTGTACATGCTATCTGATAATTCCCCTGGTTAGTATCTATACTTCAGTATTCTTTTTGTACGCATATCACATTCAGGTTCCATCATATTCTCTTCTCAGTTTATAGCATCCATCTAAGAGACATGGTATATATACAGGTCAATTATTTCTGTAGCCCTTGAGTACTCTATTTAAGCATGGTATCTAGATGAATGTAATAAATAGACTAGCTCCTAGCTGGAATAATTTCCCATTTGTCTGCTCTTCCCCTCCCAACTCTACTATAGCTACGTGTTCTTGTAGTTCATATATTTTTAACATGGATTTAGTTTTGTCATTTGTCTTAATGAGTATCTAAAGCTTCATAGATACATTATTTATGTATTATTTGATCTTCGTAAGAAGTCTTTCTATACGTCAAAATGTAGTGTCACAAAATCTTGTTATGCAATGCAGACATGCAAATAATTTCTCCACTTAGCTGTCTGTAGTTCTACTCGATGGTCTGGGATAATTTTGTGTTGTTTAGTGTTTCCTTTCTTTCCCGCTAAGGGTTGTTCATTGTGTCTTTTGATAGACTTTCGGGATACTTGGGCATTCTTGGATGGACGGGTTAAAGAAGCATTTGATTTGAAAAAGACAGTTCAAGAGGTAACTATACTGCCGTCTGAATCAAGTGATTCAGTCATTTTGAAGAATTTTGTCTTTGCATTGTTCTTATATTTGTCCGTTTTGCTGGTTTAATAGCTAATTATCTGGATTTACACCTCAAGTATATGCACCGACGCCATAGTGTTATAGTAAACTATAAAAAGACATGTTATCTGATTAATTCATGGTTCATGTGTGTGGGTATGGGTGTTTGAAGAATATTGAACATATTTATTACTGTAGTGTCTGAAATGCAAAGTTCTGTCCTGCAAATAAAACTCATATTCGTTTGTTGCATATTTGTTGTCCTGAGTGATACAATTGTAAGGAATATACTTGATAAAATATCTTTCATCCGAGTTTATGTGTATAGTTGGGGAGATAGGTACATTTGTCCGTTTGATTTTAAAATCTGACACGACAATAGATTCGATGGTTGGCTAATTAGATATATATGAGTTATAGATCTTGAAGAAACAATCAAACAAAAGTTGGTAAATAAATTTCGTAGATGAAGGAAAAAGTAAAGCGTGGAGAGAAAATTAAATGAAAAAAAAAATCCATATAATGTTCCATAGTGGAACTGTGGAGTGTTAAGATCTTCCGTTTCTGCATACGATGTTAAAATGATGCGGTTAAGCCATTAAAATCTTTCATTTCTGCATTTAGGTGTTCCCATGCATCCAAATAAAATATCATCAATTAAAGTTGTCGAGATGTGCTAACTATTTTTTTTTTTCAGGCTAAGTATTTGGTTGAAGCAGTGGGAGCTGGGATGGGAGGTTCTGTGGAAGGATTTTTCAAGAGTTTTCTCAAGCGATAGAATATTTAGAACGATGTACTGGAAGTTTTATTGCTTTGCTCTACTTGTCTTTGCTCTGTCTTCATTTTCATTTTTGTTTCTTTTAGAAGAAAATGTACTGTGTATCCATTACGAATATGTCGAGCTGCTGCAACGAGGTCGATTTCTCACAGATCTGCAAGTATTGACCAGGGCTCTGTAGTTTTGCTTGAGATCATAGAATTAAAATATACAGAAAATGTATTCGCGGAATACGTGTTTTTTATGTTGGTCCAGTATCCTTTTTTTTGTTGTTTTTTGTCCAGTTATTATTTTTTTATTAATAAATATATAAATTGCTCCTATAGTTTTGCTTGAGATCATAGAATTAGGTAAAACCTATTGGGTATTTTAGTCTTACTATTTACCTACTCAGCGATCTCTCTGGCTGAATTAACACTTGCTGTAGACTCTGACATAGCTATAATTCCTTTTATCATTTAACAAAGCCAAAATTTTTAGTGATCCAAAATGATTTAAGGGACAATTTCTTTTAGGCTCATTTACAAACATGCTATATGATTTTAAAAAGAAAATTGCACGAATACACTCAATTAATTTTATTTGTATTATTATTACCTATATACCAATTAATTATGAATATGCTTAATATTAGCTATTAAAAAAACATGTATGTTCTCTTTTCGATCTTTAATCAATTTATCTTCATTAAAAAAATCATTCTTAAACAATACTCTCTCTCTCTCTCTCTCTCTCTCTCTATCTCTCTCTCTCTCTCTCTCTCTCTCTCTCTCTCTCTCTCTCTCTCTCTCTCTCTCTCTCTCTCTCTCGTCAGAGACGTTGGTGGAGGGGCTGAGGTAGAGGTAGTCGATCTGGTGGAAGTAGGACTTGATCCGATCTAGGCCCGAGGTTTTCTTGCCCTTCTTGTAGCCAGCGAGTTTGGCGGAGCCGGGAAGAGTGAGGAAGGAATGGTAGTGATATTTTGGTAGAAATTGGTGGCGATAGGGCGGATAAATATCTCTAAATGAAATTGGAACATATACTGAAAATGTACTGACTCTAAAAACAACATATATGGAATTATTATAATACTCGTCTTGCACAAAATTTTGACGTTTGTCATTAATCCTTGACACCTTATTCTTATTATTGTGAACCTGGTTGGATTTGTCATTGTTTTTTTTTT